TTACATTGTTAACAATAAACTACAAATTCAATTGATGTATCCAATGCGTTAACACAAAAATAAATCATTAATCGATATCTTAAAGGTCTGATATTTTATTTCAGTAATAAAATATCTGAGTTAACCTGAGAGCATTTACAACAACCTTTTGATGATTGAATCAGTTCCAACTAAGGAAAAAGTTTTTTCTTTTAATTTTTTTTTTTTTTATGATATTTACAACTGTAATAAGAAAGAATACATTAAGTAAATGTGATAACAGAAAAAAATAAAAACATGTAAACACTTGTTGAGAAACTACCTACTGGTAGCATTCTAAAAAAAATAAAAATGTATTTACAATAGGAGATCTTCTTTTCAGGCGCCTCGGAGGGTTATCAGGGATCGAATAGGAAGCAAGGTTAGAAACGAGAGGGTTCGGATGGTTCTGAAGTTTATTATGGAAGGATAGGTATCTGGAGGAAAAAGTTAAAATTTAAAAAGATAAGTATGCTTGTGGAAACACTATTTTTGACACCAATACTACTTTTTTAAGACCAAGATTTGTTTTTATTATGACATGGAAGATACATAAAATAAGAGGGATAGAAAAGAGGACTATTTTTTCAATCAGTTACAGACGTCCGACCATCAACATCATTATGTTCCGGCAAGGATGGGTGCTATGCCAGATCACAAAAGGACAGGAAGTGAAATGGAGTGTGCCTAATAGTTTCCAATCGCTTGCGGGATTTCCTCAAACTTATGTTGGGACAATAAAAAATAATAAAACCATGACGATACAATAAACGTTTTAAATTATTTTATAAATGAAATTTATTAATTAAACAATAAATAAACGATATATAAACAGATTCCGCTGAAGAGGGAAGATTTAGGGCTAAAGCCCCCCTCCACCAAAATGGAAAATTTTTTTTTTCAATGGTCCGCAATTTGTTTCTGTTACTGATCTCAGGTAAATACATTAAAAATTATTTTTAAACCAACTCATTAATCACAGACACAGTTAAGCATATAGAAGCATTGGAGGGTGTAGGATGTAAGATACAATTTTTGTGGTTACCGGGTCACTCAGGTATTAGAGGTAATGAGCTAGCCGATATCATGGCAAAACAAGCAATCACGGAAGGAACTCCAGTAGGGGATGCTTTTCCAAAAAAAGTAGTAGCTTTGGTAAAGAGAAAGGCTCTAGAAAAATGGCAGGATCTCTGGCATGTGTTAAGAGACAATAAGTTGATAGTTATCGAGCCCTCTGTAGTTCCCAATCGAGCGGACCTTCAGATAAATAGAAGAGAAGAAATAATACTGGCAAGGCTCCGAATCGGCCACTCACGGCTAACTCATGAGCACCTGATGACAAAGGGGACGCCCCCTCAGTGTCTCTGCTGCGGCGTCAATTTAACAGTCAGCCACATTTTGACTGAATGTTATGCATATGAAACACAATGGAATGAAGTTGAATTGGAGAATGATATAACAGAAATTTTGAAAAATATCACCACATTGGCAAAAAAATTGTTTACATTTCTTCAAATAACGCACCTATACAACAAAACTTAAATTTTGCTGAATCTTTTTTTTTTTTTTTTTTGAAATTTTAATGTTTTAAATAATTTGTGCTTTCAATTTATTGTTAAATTTCATCTGATGTAATATAAATATTTTGTAAGGGCTAAAATGACCTATAAGAGGTTGAGGAGCCCCCAATGTCATAAATAAAAATACATTAACAATTATATTGCGTTATCATTTTAAATTATAATGCATATAATACGTATAACATTTATCCATAACAGTATTATTAATACCGAACACAGGTTTTTCAAAAATTTGTATATATCTTTAGTAAACATTATTTAGTAAACACCTAAACATAATTTTATATAGTTTCCAGACTAATTACCGTTATGAAAAATTTCCAACCAAAAAAAAATTAGATGATATGCAGATTTATTTTTTTTTTAATTATTTACAAAACAAGTTAATGTATAAATGATGGATTTCCCTTCATAGGCCACCAGTACGAATGTCTTCAGTTATTCAACATCGAATTTCATGTGTTTAACATGATAGTGATGTTTCTTCTTTGGATTCTTTTTTTTTTTTTTTGGAATTGCTCTTTGTTGATAATTTATTATCCTGGGTTTTGAATTTTTCTAGAACATTATTAATATAGAAAACTTCAGATTCAAAATCAGAGTCCAGAAAATCTTCTACTTCTTATTATTATAACTATTTTTATTGTCATTCCTGTTTTGCTATTAACCTATTATTCCTGTTAAATATTGATTTTTTTTTTAATTCATACATAATCCCTTTTGTAGCCGGAAGAAAAATAATATAATGGAGAGAAACAAATATATTTTTAACACGATATATAAAAAGCTTCCAAGTTTCTTTTCGCTATTGTCAGAAAAATAATAAGATGAATCTTATATGCACATGTTACAACAAATATTTCGACATTATATATTTTATTTCTAAAAGGTGTTCTTTTGTCGGTACGCCATAACTTCGTCAATTCTTCATCAAGTATAATGGTTGACCACTCATTTTGGAGATATTCTTTTCCTTCACATTTACCTGGAAATTTCCGGGGAAAAAAGTTATGAAGGAAAAGAAACTGTTTTTGCGAATAACTCAAAATGTATGCATTTTTTTCATGATTCGACCCATGATAATTAGAAAGATTACTAAATTAACTACAAAACAAATAAAAAATCCTAAAAATTGGACAATTACTAACAAAGATACAGTACATTAGTTTTGGTATACTTAATAATGTCTTCCTGATTAAAGATATTGCATTTAGGAGTAGATTAGTCTACTATACTTTTTTTCCTGACTGATATATTAACTTTATTATTTCTTAGAGACATTTGGTTGTTCTTACATTTTATTTTTTTTAATAATTTAGAAACAACTCCTTGATCGGAGTATTATTTTGTCTTTATTACTTTTATTATCTTTTCAGTCAGCGTTTAAAAATAGATCTCAGCATTAGATCTCAAACAATTTGCACAAATATTTTTGTTTATTATGTTTAATGGAATATTGCGATAAGGAAAGAACATATAAATTCCTTATTTACATAATAAATAGGAACTACTTATTTCCATATTGTTTTGCTATTTCTTCACTAAAAAAAATTTTGTGCGAATTATTCGCACAGGCCAAATAGTATATATATATATATATATATATATATATATATATATATATATATATATATATATATATATATATATATATATAATGGGAAATATTGATATATTCGAATAGTTCGATATTCTTAAATACATAAATAATTCAAAGAGGTGTCATGATGTTATATTTTATGATAAAGTTTATCAACACTTATAAATATAATAATATTAAAACATGGCAATAAACCGCTGGATAAGGAAGTATTGATAAGATAATGTTTGTCTGATAAGACGCACCTGTTGCTAGGTATCCGTGCAAGCTGTAGGGAGCGCTATCACTGACTGAGGCTTCCCATGTCCCCTTCCACTCCTCGTCACTTTTCTACGTACCAATCTTCCACCTCTTGTGGTCTCTCCAGGCAGAGGAGATCTGCAGATGTAACTGGAGAACGTCTACGAGTAATGTTATTAGTCATCCCTAAAATCCCTTAAGACAAAAAGTACTTGCAACACCCTGAAATATATGTTATTTCTTGATACCGAACTTCAATAAGAGTTATTTAGCATATTCGCTACGTGTATGGTATTATTTCATTTCTGTGTCCTCTCCATGATAAAAAGAACGATTAATAGAATTTAAATAAATAACACAAAACAGTTTTAAGTTACTACGTATGATAAGTTCTATTTTATTCGCGTCGGTAGATAACTAAAAAATTTTATTCGACTAAAAATTTAGAAACCAAAGTCAGGGGTTACGAAAACGGAAAATCATGAAAAAATTAAATTATTCCAAATTATTCATACGCTTTCTGTTAATTTTTTATATGTTTGAATTTAAGCTCACTTTCAATATTATGACGGGGGCACATTTCGACAGGATTATGAATTTTGGAGTGGAAAGTCTCAAACAAGGTAGCAAGGAGAAAAACATTGACCAGATCACACCAAGTGCAATGGCATGTGAGCTAAGATTTTTCTAATTCTACTTTGGCATGCTCTATTGTTACGAAGAAGAGAGGAATAAACTTTCTTGGGAGGAGGGCAAGTTAATAAGTCATTGGCCTTGGGGAGGATGGGCTCCTCTGGATGATTACACATAATGTTGATAAGCCAAAATATGGCTCATTAAAAATCGCCTTTTCGTCAGACGTCTTCAGTCACAGTTTCTGTTCATTTTGAGACAAATTAAATGTTCACCAGAAATCATTTTTCTACAGACCATTTTCACTTCCAGCATAATGTTGTAGCGATCGGCTAATAAGATAAATTAACATAAGTAAACTTTATTATAAACTGAAATTGACACAGACTGGGAGTTTACAACGATATGATTAAGATATACAGTGTTGCATGAATATCAAATACATTAAATATAATCTTATTAAATATAATTAACTACATTATAACATAAATATGTAATCATGGATTATCTATGAATAACAATAAAAATTCTCTAGTTCACTCTGCCATCATTTATTTACAAACTTGTTTTCTTTACGAATTTATCTATCGTTAACAACTACCGAATACGGTCTAGTAGAATCAATCAATCCAAAACATCACAGTGAGCGATTTTAGTAAATTGGAAATTTTAAATTTAAAAAAATAAACTTTTATAAGTATTAATTATTTTATATAACTAAATATTTTAAAATTACAATACAAGAGCACGTAAATTATATAATTAAGATTATATGTAAATATGCCGCACTCATAACAATTGGAAATATAATTAAAATATTGAATTAAAAATTGTTTTTGAACATATGTTATAACAGTGTGTTTGTCATAAAAATGTAGTGTTCAAAATACAAAATTCTAGTTCAGAAAAACCAACAAATTACAATAAGTATGGAAGATGATGATTATTCTTCTTTCGATTATCAAGGAAGGTTTCGAACTAAAAAGACTGCTGGCGGGAAAGGAAGAAACAGAGCTGTCAAAATCAGAGGTCCAAGAGCTTATAGATCGACTATAGATAAATCCAGAAGGAGAAGAAGTGGCCGACGAAGGAAGAGACCAAAGTACTGTCCCAAATTAAGGAGGATCTACAGCTACTGCAGGGGCTGCAAGAAGAAGAAGAGGAGTGGTAAAAAGAAAAAAAGAATGTGCTGTCAGCTTTAAGGTTTTCATGTCAGTTATTATGTCCCTTCAAAATAAATCTTTTTTTTCAAAATATAATAATGTTGCAAAGCAACCTGTTAATTGTATACTTTTTTAATATTTTGTTTATCATTGAGGATGCCAGTTCAAAAAAAATACTACTATATGCTACTTTTTAAAAAATAATAGAATTAGCTTTTTTGACCGACTTTAAAAGACAAGATTTTTTTAAATAGCAAACAACATAAATCGGTATTATATTGAGAAAGTAGTAAAATACGGTTCGTAAATTATTTTATCTGCATAAAATTAAACAATGAGAATGGTAAAAATATAAATTATTAGTAAACCGACATTAGTTCTTAATTTTTTAAAATCAAAACTGTATCTCTTTCCAAATGGGAAGATGAAGCAGTTGATGATTTATATATCTATTCGAAGAATGTGACTCATAATAACTCGAATAATTTAATATTTTAATGGTTTCTTAACATCTTTAATATATTTTTTTTTTAAAACTTTGATATAATATAAAAGTTGTTTTATTTAATTTATTGTATATATTTTTTATTATTATTTAGCTTTTTTATTTTATGCTTTCTGAATACATGGTGTAAATGTGTTCTTGAATCACTATAATTATTTTCCGTGAGAAAGAACGTTATATTATTGAAAAAACAAAAAAAAAACTAAGGTGTGTACTTTGGACCACACGATAGAAGTGAAAACATCAAGGTGAGATTAATAATACGAAATATAAATTATAAATAATAGCTCATTATAAAGAGAATGAAATGTCGAACATTTCTCTCGCATTCAGTATGCAGGTATGATTTTTAGTTTCTGAAATATCTTCAGTATAACTCGATATAGTTTGGTTTTCGACACCATTTCTTCCTTTTCGTCTCTCTAACACGACGCACAGTGGTTGGAAAAGCCATAAAACGGCAAAAATCCAGAGAAACATGACAATTTAAGCAAGATATTTGAAAAACGGAATTTATTATAGCATGCGGGCATGTTCTTAATTAATAAAAAATAAAACCATTTTTAAAAAATAAATGAAATATATTTTGAATGTAATATGTTGTAAAAATGAAAAAATATTGTATAAAGTTAATAATAATAATACTTTATTTATTCTGGGACGAGTCCCTTTAGAATAATACAGAAGACATAAATATGGGCTAAGGAGCCTCAGAGATACATAAATAAAGATACAGAGTAATTAAACAGTCATAGTAATAAAATTAAAAATTATAAGTTTCTTCCTAATTTTAATCAGTTAATAATTATTTTTTTTTTTTTAAAAAGGATGAAGTAAAAATAATGAAGAACGAGCTAATAATTTATATACATATTTACAATAGTATTTATTTACAATTTCATGGCGACTGGGTGGATAAGAAATGATTTAACAGACAGGATTTGAATGTCGAAAGGTTATGAGATTGTCGAATGTGAGAAGGGATGGAGTTCCAAAAGGATGAGGATCTGTTATGGGAACGAACAGATGATTTGAATTGAAGGAGCTCAAAGATGTATGAAGGACGGTGGGATTGGATGACTTGATAGAGGAAGGATGCCAGGAAATATTTACGACGGTAGGAAGGATAAAGCCACTTGATTTGATGGGATTATCAAGCAGGAACAGAGTTGGAATATTAGGAACAGTTTTCAGGAGGTTATTGGAGCCTATTAAGATTGCCTTCGTCTTTCCCGCATTCAACTTCAACTTGTTAGCTCTCGCCCAGTCACAAATCCTGTTTGTTATTGACCAAATCTCCATCCCCATCCCCATATATATTATAACAGTAAGGCTCGAAATCGGTTTTGTACCAAATATAAGCTCCTGTCATGTTCAAATACCATGAATGCGGTACTGTTGGATTCAGAATTTCACGGGGGGTTCGCGAATCGTATTCTACACTTTTGTTTTTCTTTCTAATAAAAATAAATTGGATTTTGCTAGGCTTCTATACTGGAACGGTGGAAGGTCTGTAGATCGAAACGTGACAAATTGGATCTTGAAGATTTTGATGCGTACAGAAAGATCCCGATAGTCCTTCGGAGCTATCGGATCCAGCGTTTTTAAGCCCAAAAACGTACTATTTTCGAGATAACGCAAGGCATATAGGGTTCGCATCCACACAACCTTATGTTAATTGTATTAATGTCGTTGAATACATGTCTCATTTCGTCGACTTGAGGCCTCTATGATCGAGAGAGGAGGAGTTTATATTGTTTATCGATGGTGTTTTTGATCGGCAAGCCACATCATCGTTAATTCTTCACCAAATCTCAAGATTGAGCCACCAATTTCGAAGGCTTCCTTCCCTTCGAGCGAGTAAAATAGTCCAATTGCTTCGAAAATTCAGACAAACAAGTTATGAAAGAAAACAAACTTTATTTGCGAGTAACTAAAAAATTACACACTTTTCCCGTGGTTATGACCATGATTATATAAAAGATTACTAAATTCCCTACAAAAGGAAAAAAAATCATCGAAATCGGACAATTTTTAGAAAAGATAATGCTTATTGAAATTTGTAAACATGTTGTTTCCAAACATTAATGAAGATTTAAATTAATTTTTGTTTCGTTTGTCGATTATATTTATCGACAAAGTTACAATTGATTTCTTTATCTTTTGATACGTTGCATTATTTTATTTTCTTATTAATTTGTCATTTGATAACAATAATTTTTCACACGGGCCTACACAGGTCATTTATAAATATCTATTACCTATATTACTTTCAAGAGAACAAGGTCATAAGAGAAGAAGAGCAAACCAACCTACAACTAAATGAAGATAAAACCAAATTCATGGTAGTAGGCTGAAAACAATACCCAAGTCTCAATAACGAGTAAAAAAATTGTTTGAATTTATATTTATCTTTTCCTTCGCATTTTCTTTTTTTTTAATGCTTTTCCTCCAGTTTTCTATAGAAAGGAATCCTATTATCCGAAGGAAAGGAATAAATTATACTAGGTATAACTTTAACCCCCATACCAGACTGAAACGACTAGAAACCGCCCGACGTTTTCGACTACTACAGCACTTACTAGACAAACGCTCTAAGCTCACAATAAATTACAAACGACTCATATATATAATATAATATATATGATATTATGAATAATAAGACTTATTTGGACTTACAGAATTGAGCTTTGGGGCTCCACTAAACCATCGAATTCCTCTCGTATCCAATCCTTACAATCCAAAATCCTTCGTAAAATCCTCAACGCTCTTTACTTTGTCACAAATAAAATCATCCATAAAGACCTTAATGTTCCATATGTTTCCGATTTGGCCCAATCCAGATACCTATCCTTCCATAACAAACTGCAGAACCATCCAAATCCTCTCGTTTCAAACCTTGCTTCCTCCTCGATCCCTTATAATCCTCCGAGGCGTCTGAAAAGAAGTGGCCTCGGGATCTTCTAATATAGAACTTTAATTTGAGTTCTACCAATGGGTAGTTTCTCTTCAAGTTGTACATGTCATGTTACCAATGTCACATTTACTTGTTGTATTTTCCATGTAATACAGTTGTAAATTTCAATAAAATAAAATAAATAAATAAAAAAGGTATACATTTATTTCGATGGTGGTAGGAATTTTTCTTACTCGTTTTTGGTGTAAGTTTCTTGACTGAATTTGCCAGATAATTACCATATCACAAATTATCGGACCTGATTTTTGTATTCATCATTAGCAGATGGTTCCAAGAACATTTTGATTATAGTATGTCCTTGGCGGTCGTTGGCGCGAGGTACCTTCAGATGGAAAAACGAAATTTCAGGATCCATTGAATGATAACTTATCCAATGAAAATACAAAATGATTGAATTTATTAATCACTTTTTTAAGAACTTATTTCATTCATTCCAACAAATTACACAACAAAAAATATGTGGCGAAAACGCCTAAAATATATTTAATTATTTATAGCAAATTGCATTATTAATATGGTAGAAACTGACTTTTTATTTATATTTCATTGAATATCTTTGAAACTGGTATTATTCGTATCTAAACTTACATGATTTAACTATGTCATACATTAAAAACATAGAAATTTGAATCATCAAGACTATTTCAATGAAGGTAACACCTGCTTGTTATCAAATTTGTTAGTGGCCTTAAAAATTAAAGATGGGCTAAAGCGTGTTCACAGCACCGCGAGTTGCCTGGTCACCAGAGTACAAGATTTGAGATGACTTAAAAAATACGAGTTTGCGTCCCGGTGCCGGAGGCGATTTTAAATTCCCCGCCCTCACCCTCCGGCCCGGGAAAATCCCGTATAGCCTAAAAGGCGAGGTAGGAAAGAACAAAAAAAAAAAAAAAAAGAAAAAAAGATCATAAACAATTACACTCAATGTTGTCTGTTCCACGTTTTCTCCTCGTCCCCTGGTTTGAAACATTGCTCTTCGAAAATTCCCAACCTCGTCAAATATGTCTCCTTCAAAAACTCAAAACCTTGTCAAAATGTGCCCTTCCCCCCAAAAAAACTACTGCATACACGTATTATCAGTTGCGTACGACTTTTTTTTTTTTTTGAGCTAGACCGTTCACACACACATAAGTATCCCACGTGGCCTTTCCCCCCACGCACACTGACCATTAATGGACATTTAAGGGACAGCAAAACGAGTATTTCCTTTTGCAACTGTTACCTATATTTTTAAGAGAATAAAATAAAAAGTTAATTTCTGCACCCATGTAATTTTCAATTTGTATTAAATAATGAAAGAAAAAAACACTGGTTTTCACTAAAACTAGCTCCCATTATTGTGTATGCACCTTAGTGTCACTTGAATCCAATAAACTACCTAGTAATCGATAAGCTACACGTGAGAACAACTGCATTCCGTTTAAAGTAATCTTATATTCTATTAGTGCTCATATGGAGGAACGTGTCACTCATGAACTGCCAACCAAAACGTGGATGAAATTGGAACTCTTAAATATTTATCATGACGATAGATGTGAAGCGCAGTTTAAAACACTC